TTTCTTACTCTTACTTCTTACTCCGTGTATTGTAGACGGGCCTTAAGATTTGAGTTTTACGACGTTCTGCAACCTATCTCTGCAATAAATAAATATGGTTTATATTTCTTTATATGTATTTGTATTTTTAATTTCATTACAATTTTTATTTTCAAATAAAATAAATGTATTTATTGTTGTTCACCTTTTTTTACCCATAAAAATTAAGATGTAGGGATTTTGGAGGAATTTCAAATTCAATTTTGGGGAACCTAGGGTAATTTCAAATTTAATCTAGGGTGAAGATGTAGCAATGGATTGGCAACACATATGCCGTCTGTCATCTGTGTCGATCACTGACGGATAAGTAGTCTACTTTGGTCTACTTCGTAAGAATAATAAATATTTATAATGGACATAATAATTGATACGAAAGGTGATTCTGGCCTGATAAATAAGGATCAATTACTAGACAGTGATAACGACGATGACAAGGAAATTAAAATCATCGGTAATTATACCCATTCATTTTTCATCTTTTTGTGAGGTTAATATTTTACAGAGCATATTATTTGGTTTATTAAGATTACCATTGATTATTAAGAGAAATTAAGTTTACAATTTGCCAATCTTTGTAAAGATTATTGCTTGTTTCTTACACATAAAATCTCTGTAGTTTATATTGTTTCTTTGTAGTGAACCAATTGGAGAAAGGAACATTTCATTCTTGAGCTAAGATTTATGCCTGTATTCATAGTCAGGCCTTATATTTAAAGTTTCTTTAAATTTGTCTTCAGATGTTCTACGAATTATTATTGGCTATTGAGCATTTAAAGATAAATTTAAAGAAACCTAAATATAAGATCTGAATACACTAGTAGACTTAATACAGACCTAGTTTACTACCGTGCACTTGATATTGATTAGTAACTTTCTGTCGAATTATCTTAATTTTGACGATACATGTAAACATATATATGACATGAACATTTAATTAATTATTTTGGAGCATATATTGATTTAAAATACATTATTTTTTAAATATATTACTGAAATTAAGACATTTTAATATAGAAAGTTAATAGTTAGTACATGTATCAAATGTTCGATGTAAAACAGGTTGTAGTATTATTTGCTGAGTAATTAATTAATCGCATTAAGATAAATTATAGTTAAAGAGTCATTCATTATTCATATCTTCTTTTATTAGATGTCGGTCCAACAAGGATATTTGATGCAAAATTTTTAAGCATTGAGAAAAAAGAGCAACCAAAGAGAAAAAAATTCTCTTCCAGCAAAGACTTCGATCTTGAAAAGTTTGAAATCGATATGGGTTGGAAATCTAAGAAAGTGACTTTTGATCCAACGGAAGAATTAGCAGATATAAGAAAAGATATCAATCCTGTGGATAAGATTTTAGAGAAGAGTGTTATTAAATCTGATTTTGAACAGTTGCATGTTGTGCCACCCTATGAGTTAAGCAAACGTCAATTGGAAATACACAAACGACGTGAGAAACAAAAGATGGGAACAGGTGCAGAATGGTTTAACATGCATGCACCTGAAATAACACCAGAGATTAGACACGACCTCGAAGTATTAAGAATGAGATCTGCGTTAAACCCGAAACACTTTTACAAAAAGAATGATATGAAATCATTGCCGACACACTTCCATGTTGGCAAAGTTATTGATTCTCCAATGGATTTCTATTCTTCGCGTCTTACAAAGAAGGAGCGCAAGAAGACAATCGTTGATGAACTTATGGCAGACGCAGAGTTTACAAAATACAACAAGCGTAAATATAAGGAAATTATTGAGGAAAAGCAAAAAACACATTATAAAGCACACAAACATGAAAGAAGATTTAAAAGAAAGAAGAAATAATACATTTTATTATAAAAAATATATTTTGTGTATTTGAGAAATAAAGAATTACTAAAAGTTATGTATTCTCTATATTAGTAATGAGGAAAAACAACCGAGAGTACCATTGTAGTTGATAGCGTATAAAAATTTAATGTTTTAGGATATATTTATTCCATGAAACTTTATTACAATCTTTCTTATTCTCAATATTCTTGATCGAACATTTTGGTCTTATTTTAGACTATCTTCAACGAATTAACAAATTAGATAAAATTATCAGAAAATTTTCTTGATAAATCATATAATAATTACGTACTTCAACATTGATATCCCTTTTTGACAGTTGTGTGAACGTAAGGGCTACGGTTTACTTAGGCCCAATTTCACAACTGAAGGTTAACTCTTAACCGTCAGTTGTAAAACTGGGCCTAAATGCTACAGAGCATTTGTAGCACTAACAGAACCAATATTACCATTTGACGTTTCGGGACGCTCCCAGCAATTTTGATTATATTATCAGGTCATCGTTTTTGCTCTCGCTTTAAGCCAGTGGCACACGATGCTTTTTTTCTGCTGGATTGCTTGCGTGCTACTGTGCTGGCAATCTGACTGGCTGCAGTGGCTGCTATGCTGGAAATTGTATGGCTTGCAGGCCCCGCTGTTGGCTGATCCGCTGGATTTTCGTGATAGAACCGGTGCTATTTTTCTTGCTTGATTTCATGCTGGCTTATTGTAGAACCAATCACGACGCCGCTTCATTTGAAGATGGCCGCTGGGAAGCGTGTAAACACATGCGAGTACGCGAAATTCAAAAATACAATATTTTGTGCCGACTGCGCAATATATACTGTGCAACCAAAATATTTATCGGTAAGGGCCTGCGCACAATAGAGGAACAGGAATTAGATATTAAGATTTCAACCTATCAGAAACTGATTACATCGGAATACACGATTTCTGATAGGTTGAAATCTTAATATCTAAT